TGAAAAAGCTGGCTTGAAGCTCAATGTTAAAAAAAAAAAAACTAAGATTATGACATTCAGTCCCATCACTTCATGCCAAATAGAAGGGGAACATGTAGAAACAGTGACATTTTATTTTTCTGGGCTCCAAAATCACTGTGGACAGTGACTGCAGCCATGAAATTAAAAGACACTTGCTGTTTGTAAGGAAAACTATGACAAACCTAGACAATGTATTAAAAAAGCAAAGACATCACTTTATGGACAAAAGTCTGTATTGTCATAGCTATGGTTTTTTCCAGTAGTCATATATGGATGTGAGAGTTGGTTCACAAAGAAGGCTGAGTGCCAAAGAATTGATGCTTTCAAATTGTGGTCATGGAGAAGACTCTTGAGAGTCCCTTGGACTTCAAAAAGATCAAATAAGTCAGTTCTAAAGGAAATCAGTCATGAATGTTCATTGGAAGATCAGATGCTGAAGCTGAAGCTCCAATCCTTTGGCCACCTGATGTGAAGAGCCACCTCATTGGAAAAGACCCTGACACTGGGAAAGGTTGAAGGAAAAGGGAGAAGGGGGCAGCAGAGGATGAGATGGTTAGATAGCATCATTGACTCAATGGACATGAATTTGAGCAAACTGTGGAGACAGTGGAGGACGGGGAAGCCTGGTGTGCTGCAGTCCATGGGGTCACAGAAAGCTGCACATGACTTATGGATTGATTGACAACAATTCCATGCAAAACTTTAGTACTAACTGGAGGAGGGGGTTACTCAGTCAAGAAACTTAGGTACAAAAGCTGAACTAAGACATGTCAAAAGGTAAATATAAATCTGTTTGGAATTAATGAAACGATGGTGCATGTGTCTGCATCCCAGGGTCTTCTTTCTGATCATAGACCCTGTGTCCCGAGGGTCCCCTCAGAGTTTTTCTATTCTGAGTCCAAAGCATATGACCACTTGTGGTTAAGGAGGAGTTGGGAAGGAAGCTGACATTTACTGAGCAGACTGGTGGTTAGACTTCTCAGAACACGTGATTGCCATTGATGTTGAGATGAAGAAACTGAGGTTTAGTGGCTCATCTGATGGAACTGAGCTGCAGTCTACTGCCTCCAGGTTCTCCATCTGACTCACTCAGCAGACTGAGCTCTGACCCATGTTCCTGAGCTTTGCTTTGTGAAGGTGCAGGGCACTCAGAGTACCTGCCTGGAGCCCTGCCCATGATGAATGAGGCTTCAGACCTGGCTACTCACTTCTCTGAAGAGATTGTGGACCCTGTAGGAAGAGACTGGGACTGAGTTCCCTGGGGTCTGCATTTAAAATGTAGGGGCAGTTTGAGGGGGTTGCTGTGAAAAAAAAAAAAAACACAAAACACTTAAGTTTGGATAGTTTGGGTGGGAGTCTTGGCTAAGAGAATTTTGTGTCTTGAACTGTTGGATGATTTCCTCTGATTTGGGCCATTTGGACTCTCATTTTTCATTTTCATATTCAGGAAGTTTTCGGCTCAAATGAAAAGTTTAATTCCTGGTTGGGATGGAATATTGCAGAGATGTATGGAGGTCACACTAGCATTCATTTTCTATCTAATGCTATTTGGGAAGAAGTGTCTAGAAAATGCTCTCTGGCAAAGGTTACCAAGAGTCTATTAATTTTTTGTTGTTTCTATGTACCTTATAAATCATAAACAATCATGTAGAAAACTGCCTGAGAAAAATGTACAGAGTTTTAAATGACATAGACTCCTCTTCTCCCATTCCTATATAATGATGAAATAGTGTTTTAGTTCAGTCAGGTTTTGGAATTTCAGTATTGGTCAGTTGTTTATCATCATGAAACATGTAAAATATTGTTGAGTTTTTTGAGGAAAAAAAACTAGCTGTTGATACCTCCATCACTGCATTGGTTTTTAGAATTTTTTAGCAGAGCTAGATTCAGGATTGCTGCTGATGAATTTGAGGACCTAGTCAGATTTATTGATTTATATTGGTACTTAGTTTGTATTGGCCAATCTGATCACAGGACCACAGGACTACAGTCTTGTCTAACTCAATGAAACTAAGCCATGCCATGTGGGGCCACCCAAGACGGTCGGGTCATGGTGGTGAGGACTGATAGATGAGGTCCACTGGAGAAGGGAATGGAAAACCACTTCAGTATTCTTGCCTTGAGAACCCATGAACAGTATGAAAAGGCAAAATGATAAGATACTGAAAGAGGAACTCCCCAGGTCTGTAGGTGCCCAATATGCTAATGGAGATCAGTGGGGAAATAACTCCAGAAACAATGAAGGGATGGCACCAATGCAAAAACAATACCCAGTTGTGGATGGGACTAGTGATAGATGCAAGGTCCTATGCTGTAAAGAGCAATATTGCATAGGAACCTGGAATGTTAGGTCCATGAATCAAGGCAAATTGGAAGTGGTCAAACAGGAGATGGCAAGAGTGAATGTCAACATTCTAGGAATCAGCAAACTAAAATGGACTGGAATAGGTGAATTTAATTCAGATGACCATAATATCTACCACTGTGGGCAGGAATCCCTTAGAAGAAATGGAGTAGCCATCATAGTCAACAAAAGAGTCCAAAATGCAGTACTTGGATGCAATCTCAAAAATGACAGAATGATCTCTGTTTGTTTTCAAGGCAAACCATTCAATATCATGAATGGGGCAAGCCTATGCCCCAACCAGTAAGGCTGAAGAAACTGAAGTTGAATGGTTCTATGAAGACCTACAAGACCTTTTAGAACTAACACCCCAAAAAGATGTCCTTTTCATTATAGGGGACTGGAATGCAAAAGTAGGAAGTCAAGAAACACCTGGAGTAACAGGCAAATTTGGCCTTGGAGTA